CAGATTACAGTCTCGACGCAGGACCATACCTCAATTTTCCTAGGACAAAACTCTACAGGGCACGGACGAGAAATGGCAGCAGCAACACCTTCGTTCAAAGAGGAACTCGCTCTCCTACCGATGTTGAAGGGGGAAAGCAACTTCCCCATGTGGACCAAACGGCTGAGGTCTTTTCTCAAAAGCAAGGACTTATGGAGTGTCGTCATCGCCAACCCTGGACCAAATCCCACTGCTCGAGTCAAGAAGCAAATGGCGGAAGCAGGCTATGCCATCACCATGAGGATTGCCGACTTCATCCACAACGGCCTTGTCACGGAAGACAACGAAGACAATGGTTACTTGATCTGGAAGGACGTCAAGGACACCTATGCTCGATACACCACCCATCGGTACACGAAGTGCATGACCAACTGGCATGCAATCAAGTACGAAGGAAAAATGCTTCCTTTCATACGTGACATTCAAGACTCCCTCGATGCTTTTGCGTCCATAGCTCACCCCATGCCCAGCAAGGACGTCTGCAGTGTGATTGTGTCGAAACTCTCACATACTAGACGAGCTCTGACCGATTCCTTTGTCTTCAACGCAGACATCATGCAGAACCATCAACTCCTCATCGCAAGACTCAAAGACGTTGCGGAAGAAGAAGAAGAGGAACCGAAGAGAAAGGAAAGATCGGCTGTGGCACTCAACAGCACCCGAACTCGCCCTCCATCGGGTTGTCGCAATGGTAAGCATCATCCAGATGCCACACACCCAGAAGCTACATGCTGGTCTCTGCACCCAGAGATGCGGCCTATAAGGAAACCTCGCCGTAATCCCTCCCAGCACCACACGACAGCTCCCTCAACCTCTGCGAACTCTAGTGCGACCCCTCCTGTCGCCTCCCAGTTCGAAAAACCAGCTTTTAGTCACATCACCACTGTCACTATGTTGTCCGTCACTCCACAAACCCTCCCTGTGGTCCTCGACTCGGGTGCATCCCATCACATGTTCAACAACATGGAATTCTTCACCGACACTCACGTCTGCAATACGCCTATCAGCACCGGCAAGAACTCTGCAGATCTGGTCGCAACCCTTGAGGGCACTGCCACCATCATGGATTCTGCAGGCAAAGTCATTCAGCTACCCGGATCCCTCTACGTTCCCGGTCTTTCTCGCAACCTGCTCTCTCTGGGGACCCTATCAAAGGATTCAGTCTCTATCACCCGACAAGACGACACCTCTGTAGTAACTATTGATCAATCCATTCGTTTCAACTGTCACATGGTCAATGGAATCTTAGAGATCAAAGAGTGCATTGGCCCCATTCCTTCGGCGCCAACCGTCTTTTTGACCACCACTCACTCCAGCAAAACCTCTGCCTACGAAACTTGGCACTCAAGACTTGCCCATTCCAGCATAGCTCGTTTGAAAATCGCCGTTTCTGATACTCAACTCACAGCGAGTCCCAACTGTGACGTCTGCATGAAAGGAAAGATAACTCGGCATCCATTCAACAGCCACTTCGACAAGACTACAGCAGCTCTTGAGGTTGTTCATGGAGACCTCGTTGGCCCAATCAATCCCTCCACAAACTCTGGTTCCAAATACTTCCTCACCCTTGTTGACCAACACACAGGCTACATCAGTACGACTCTCCTCAAGGTCAAATCCGACGCAACAGCGGCTATCCTGGACTTCAAGAACTTCTTTGAGAATCAGACTGGTAACTCAATCAAGAAACTAGTGACTGATGGTGGTGGAGAATTCTGCAACGGCCTTCTGACAGATCACCTCAAGGAGGCAGGCATTTCACACAACGTCTCTCCTCCATATACCCCTCAACACAACGGTTTTGCGGAAAGGGCCAACAAAACGATCATCAACATGGCGCGCTGCATGATGGTTCAGTCTAAACTGGCTAAAGAGTGGTGGGGCGAGGCGGTATTGACGGCAATGGCCACCACCAATTGTCTACCATCCATCGGGAAAAGCAGAGTATCGCCAATCGAACTCCTCTTTGGGAAAACTCCTAATATGGCCTTTTTTCGGCCCTTTGGGTGCAAAGCTTGGGTAGTCAAACCGAACCAGCTCCGGAGCTCGAAGTTTGATCCCATATCCTGGGAAGGAATTATGATAGGCTACAGCAACAACTACTCAGCATACAGGATTGTTCGCAAAGAAGACAAAAAGATCTTTGAAACAAAACATGCCTACTTCGACGAATCATCGTTTCCCGGGCTTTCAGCTATCAACCCCAGCTCGGATCCCTTTCCTCTGGATCCTCTTCCCGATTTCTCCGGTCGTACACCATTTCCCTTCAGTCAAGACGACTCGGTAACCGAACAAACCGACCCTGGTTCTGGCTCCGATCTAGATCGACCCGACCCTGATCATCTCATGATGGACGAATGTCCCTCTGAAAACGACTCACCAGATGAACCTTCTGACTCAGACACCGACATGGAAGATGCGGCACCCTCTCGACCCCATCAAAGACTGATCCTACGCCTGGGTCCACATCCAACCAAAATCACCAGTGATGTTAACACTGACAACATCATGGTGAGGCCCCGGAGGCCAGCGGTCTCATACTCCGTCACCACAGTGGAACCTCGCAATCACTTTCAAGCCCTACGCAGTGATGAAAAAGACCAGTGGATGGCGGCTGAGGAGAGGGAAATCAAAAACATGCATGACCACGGTGTCTGGATTGAAATCCCTCGACTCCCAACTCACTCGTGTATTCCATCAACTTGGGCTTACAAGAAGAAACTTGGGGTTGACAACCAAGTCATAGAATTCAAGGCTCGGATCTGCGCCCAGGGGATTTCGACAGACATATGGGCTCAACTTCGACATGAAGTACGCTCCTACCGGGAAACCCTCTTCTCTTCGCATGCTCCTGTCTCATGCGGTCACTCAAGGGATACAAGATCCATCAGCTCGACGTGAAAGAGCGCCTTCCTCACATGCGAACTGGAGGAAACCGTCTACATGCTCCTTCCTCCTGGCTACCATGACGGGGGGAAGACATCTTGCTTTACCTGAAAAAGGGGATCTACGGCCAGAAACCTGCCTTACTGGCATGGTACAACGTCTGAGTCGTTTTTCCTCCTCATTGGCTTCAATACTTCCTCGCGGACCCT